GTTTTCGTTAAAAGAAAAAGTTCCAAAAGTATTTAGGTTGGTGAAGTAGCTTTGTCACTTCTTGATCTGGTTTTGTAAACGAATATCTTTTAATTTTATTGTCCATTCTTATCCTTTTAAGATTGACATGGTCTGCTCTTATTTTGCTTTGTGCCCTTTTCATGGCTATGAATGCATCCAGTGTTCTGTTTTTTGAGATTTTAGGTTGAACATAGGATTCGATAGTGTTTGCATCGAAATACATTGCTTCACATGTATTTTTATGGGAAATGAATTTTCTTTCATCTTCATCTCTGATTGTTTTCAATTTCTTGTCAAGATCGTTTTCGATCTCGTCAATGTGTTCCTTTATACGCTTTCGAACAGATGACATTTCATTTCTAGCTTTGTCATGATTCATCGCAATTGCCTTTAGTCCTGACTGAACGGCATATTGTGTAATGTTTATGTCATTCCTTAACAGTCCTGTGTTGTCTTGCAGCTTTTCAAATTCCTTCTTTATATCTATTCCAGGCAAAATGTCATTGATACGCTTAACACTTTCACATTTTTCGTGACTCAAAGTTTGGCAGGAAGAGCAGAAAACCTCGTCATGTGTTTCGCAATAACACTCTACCAGCTGTTCAACATGAATTGCACAGGTGTCGGGTTTGCAATCTTTCTTTTTCGGCATATTGGCCTTCTCTTTTAGCACATGATGTCTTGTTATAGAAGGACGGCAATGCACTTTATAACAATCATTGCACAAATATTCTTCACAGTCGACACAGTATCCCTCCACACGCAAACTATGTCCATCGCTTTTACATGGATCACAAAACAAATCTGCAAATTCAGTACATAATGCAGCAACTCCGTTATTCGTAGACATGTTGCATTTTATTTTGAAGATTTAACGTATTACTAAAAGTCCTCGTTTATATCTTTACTTATATTGAAATTGAGATAACAGTTAAGATTTTTGCCATATTCGATTTTTCCTTTTAATTTATAAGTGTAGTAATTTGATACATCGTATACACATTTCAACCGATATTTATATTTCAAACATATTTCAATAAGACGATCTATAACTTTCTCAATCGAACAATGTCTCTATTTAGGATAATCGGCCAGGCAATGGAATGTGCATTCAGGAATTCTTATAATCAGCCAAGTATGTTATGTGATATGCTATCTTTATTACAGTATTTAAACTTTTAGTCAATACACAATTGTTACGTTAAGCAATATATAATTCAAATAATGGAAATAAAAAACGTTTTGCATTTCTTTGGGTGTTTTATTATGTCATTAAAGCAATATACAATAAAAGTACATTAATGTATTATCCCAACATTATACAAACTGATTATATTGCATAACATTAAAGAGTCTAAGCAGAAAGAGACCCAATATCATTTGGTTTAAATGGCTACTCGTTTCCTTTTCTCAAATTTGAAAAGAGGGAGACAATTTACTTTCTTAACAAAACACATATATCAGATTGAATCATTTTCTCAAGCAAAATGGACACTACAGAATGATCTGAAAATTACCTTGATGAAGTAAATGTTGATTTTTTTTCAGATCTCTCTCAATATAAAAATATTTCTATATATATTTATAGATAAAATCATATGTCTTAAATAAACGTCTTGAAATATACCGCAAAATAATCAGATATACATGTATTTACAAATCCTAGACACTGCAAATGGCAACAGTTTAGCTTTACTGTTGGAAGAGGACGTCAGATGTCCCGTGGATATTTCAGGCTAGAGCGTGCACCTGACATAAAAAAACTTAGCTTTTATGTATCAACTATTCTGATTGTTTTTTTATGGAAAGATCTTAAGTCAATAGAGGGTTTCAATCTTGCTGCATTATAATATTATCCAAATCAGCGAATTTTTCAGTCTCATAATATTTCATTGGATTTTAAGAAACAGTGTATAATTATAATAAATAAATTATAAGATATTACATACATATGTAGTTTTATTTCTTTACTTTTATAGAATTATTTGTGTGTTTTGGTTGATTTTTGTTGTTATTTTTCTTCTTTTTTAATAGATTTTTTTGAATAATTTTCATTTTTTATTTGTTTCCGGAATGCAGGGTATCACGATAGTTTGTCAATTATTTTCGTTTGCACTTAAAGACGTTTTCGGGAGTTTTCATATAGACATATAGGCAAAATTAAAACTGTTCTTTAGAATTTCTTTAAACTTGCATGTTGTTAGAATATGATAGCAGAAACACTTTCAGCGAACAAAATAATTGGGGTCACCGTTCTCGTTTTTGAGTTATCTGCCCTTGAATTGGACTTTTTTGTTAAATTCAAGGGCAGATAATTTACAATGAAGGGAATTAAAACAATTTTTCTTTCTTATTTTCATGAAGCTTACCTTCGTTTTAGTTGATATGCAAAATTTTAAGAACAAATTTAGAGTGGGTAATTTTAATTCCTTCTTCTTCTTTTAACCTGTGCATTTTTTTCTTTAAAAATGACCTATTTTTTTAAGAATTTTAAGTACCTTTATTTTCATTGAAAACAAATAACGGAAACGATGTAAGGAATTGCATATTATTATGTATTGTAATCAACAATAAAAAGAAAAACATAATCCAGAAGTAAAAACAAGAATTCAGTTAAGTATGTATAAGTTATCTGCCCTTGAAATAACCTCAGATAAGTAGAAAAGTTTGATTCAGGGGCAGATAACTCGAAAAAGAGAACGGTGACCCTCCTGTAATGAAAGTGAAAGAAACTGAATATTTTTATTACCTGGAAGAGAAACAGCTTATTTGACACAGGTACCACTATTATGTCATAAGGTGGTGAATTAAGTGATACATTTGCTGTTAATTTGTCATTGTTTATATCTATTAATTTCACATTCTTGTTTCCCTTATCAACAATTGCAACAAGTGATTCTGATATAAAGTATAGTCCGGTTATTACACATTCATCCGAATTATCGGTAGACATTGCATAAAGATCTCTGATAAAATTAATTGTTTTTGATTTTGTTTCGTTGAAAGAAAAATGTTCAAAAGTATATGGTTGTAAAGTAAGCTTTGCGACTTCATTATCTTCCTTAAAAGTAGAATCTTTTTATTTAATTGTCGATTCTATTTTTTTTCTACATCGATATGGTCTGCTCTTATTTTGCTTTGTGCCCTTTTCATGGATATAAATGCATCAATTTTTTGTTTCTCGATATTTTAGGTTGGACATAAGATTCGATAGTGTTTGCATCAAGATACATTGACTAACATGTATTTTTATGAGACATTATATTACTTTCATCTTTATTTCTAATTGTTTTCAATTTCTTGTCAAGTTCGTTTTCGATCTTGTCAATATGTTCCCTTACACGTTATTGAACAGATGACATCTCAGGCCTAGCTTTATCATGATTAATGTAAATTGCCTTTAGACTTGACTGAACGACACGTTCTTTAGAAATATTCCAGGAAAAATGGATCACAAAATAGCTCTGCAAGTTCAGTATATAATTCAGCTTCATCATTCTTATACATGTTTTTTTATTTTGAAGATTTAACGTATAACTGGATGTTCTCGTTAGATCCTTACTACTATAACATCCAACTGCTTGTAATGGACATGAATGTTTAGTTTTTGTCAAATTGAAATCTTCCTTTTTATAAATGGAGTAATTTGATATACATGTATATCTTATATCCGTATACGATGCAACAATACTACACTCTATAACATTTTAATTGACCAATATCCCTGTTTAAGATAATCGTCAAGGCAACGGCATGTACATTCGTTAAACTGAAGTTCGTTTAATCAGCTTATCATATCAAAAGTATGAAATGAGATGTGCTAGAAAGTGATTAAACTTTAATTCAGTGCTAAATTTTGACATTGAGCAATATATATTTTAGAGTACTTGAAACGGGGACATGGTTGTATCCTTTAATTATGTCATACATTGTCTGTGATAACACCGGAAACCTTACTATTTTTGTCATTTTCAGATTTAATGATTCTTTTTTTTCTCTATTGTATTGTACTATAATGTTGTTTCTGTCGTCCTTGAATACCATGAAGTATTGTTGTGTTTGTGGTATTTAAAGTTCATTCTATTTGATTTTCTTCTACTCGGGTTGTTCCAGTATTCCTATTTGAATAATGTGCCCTACTTTTTAAATGTTTTTTGACGCCTTGTCTGTGATATGAAGGCTTCATAACCTCAAATATATAGGATTAATTTGTATTTTGTTCCTCCCATTGTTTTCTCTTTTTGGTCACATGCATTCTTACTTGGGTACCATACGCCGCTTTTCATGATAACAGCCGTATAAACACATCTTAATTCAAAGTTTCACGACCTTGAACACTTTTTAAGTCAATTCTAGGGAATATGGACGGTAGTTTGCGATTACGACTATCGTCCATGAATTATGCTCAATGAAACCAAACATGCGATATTTTTAGTTTTGTTGTTTTAAGAATTTTTTTTGGATTCGTATTTCGCTATTTTGTAGGTATAAAATCAAATCAATTAATTTTGATAGGAATAATTTACTACAATCAGTATTTTTCACTGTTGACTTATTGATAAATATACTGATATTATCAACAAACTTTGAGTTTGAATTTGCAAAAATTATCATACTTGATACGCTTAACATTTTTCAGGAATCGAAATTGTATATTACTTACCTTGGTTAAGTTCGTTTACTTCAAACCACCTGCCCCTAACCACTATGGATTCGAATCTCGCCTTTGTTAGATGGCTATCACGCTAGCTACGGAACTTCGGTGGTACAGGTGCCCGTTTAAGGCACGAACGTGTATTCCTCAACTAGTAAAGCTGGAAAGTCGCCATATGACATTCACTGTGTTGGTGCGACGTTTAACACAACAAAAATATATCATAATTCATTCGACATCAAAATTTTACAAATAAATAACTAAAGCGATCAGAGGAAACATAAAGCCCCTCGATACACTTTAAGGAAAACAATTAAAAAGATAAGAAAGAAAAAAATAAATTATCAATTTTCAAATTAAAGGATCAAGAATAGGACTGGTTTGGTGGGTCTCTGATGTCTGAAAGTTTTAAGGTTTAACTTGCTTTTTTATTATCTTTGTTTGTTTTGACATATTTGAAAACAATTTTACTAAGATATTTGTGTTATCACCACCATATAAAATTGTGATAATGTTGGGGTTGCATTTGTATTTTCGGTTAGCTGTTCTCCTTGCTTTCAAGAAAAAGTAATGATGTATAGTTTCATGAACAGACACAATATATCAAACGATGTCTGCAATTTTCTTACACATGTGAGTTTGTTGTTTTCATTGCTTACGAGGGATCACCCTTTTCCAGGTGTTTCATTATCAAATTGTATGCATGCAAGTGAATAAAGAATGTTGATGATGTTGTTGGAGAAAGGTTGTTCATTTAATGTACATATGTGATTTTAACGCATATCTGGTGGATGTTTGTTTTCTGTCTCCATAGTAGAAAAAATAGAAACCTTTTTATAGGCTTTTACAGATTTATTTAGCTTGTATTTAAAAGTGTTTAGAATGGAGCTTGTCGTTCTTCTGGGGATAAATATAAAGAAATTTGAATTTAAGGGAGAAGACACAGTTAAATTGATTTTCTAACTCTTATTCTCTTATTCTTAAAGTGTTACTCTCTTTTGTAATCATTATTGTGCAATTAATAAAATACCATTTTGTTAATAAACTAGATTAAATTTTAAAGATTACTTTGGAAGAAACAATAACGACCACAAAAAAAAAAAAAAAAAAAAAAAAAAAAAAAAACTTTACAAAGTTTAATGAATATATATAGTTCTCCGCGTTACATCGTATAGCGGAGAAATATTGTCTCAACATAGCGTGACCAAAACCGGTTTTGTCCGTTATTAGGTCTATAAATAACTAGTTATGTGATATATTGGTCACTTCTACGAGGTTTCTCTTACGGGTAACATCTTACATTCTAAAATGAGTGACACCGACATGAATTCGGGCGGGGAAGATAGCCAGAAATTGGAAAGAATGGTGGATAGTAAAATTCGACAGTCCCTGGAGACGCATAAGAACGACATGCTCAAGGAGATTGGATCATTATTCGAAAAGATAAGTGAAAATACTAATAATTCACAGTTAAGCAAAATTAGTAATATCATAGCATGTGACATTCCAAAATTCAAAAGAAAAAGCAATGAAGAGCAATATAAGCACAACGTAAAAGTAAACATGAAATTAAATGAAGCCGAGCAGTTAGTTAGCACAGACCCCGTTCAGTGTAAAGCCAAAATCGTTGAAGGTATTTATTTCTAATTTCGCTGTACAACAGTTAATTGATATCTTATTTTCGTTTATTCGGATATTTTTAATGATTTTTAATGATATCAGAAGCACCTGAAATATAAACATTTATGATAACGGTGATAATCATATATAAAAGTACTGCCGTTATATAAACATGTCGTTCACTAAGTTAAAAATACACACTTTTCGTTATTTCGCTTATGTAACGGATACTAGTATTCATTGGTTTATATGAACAATATATGTTATTCTTACAATTTTAAAGCACATAATTATATTTTATTGAACTGAGTGATATTTTTATTGTTGCTATTCAGCATACTTGTACATATATAATTGATATATCTCATATCTCGTGCTGTTATGCGTTTCAGCTAAAGAGATAATTGGACACAGACAGAAGCTAATTCAGCTTGCGGATTCGAGCGAATTAGGCTGGCGTATTGTAACAGATCGAGCTCAGAACGTTGTTTATTATCGTAAAAGCTGAAACCAAACAAAAAACATAATGAAATTATTAATTTACAATCTTTCAGCTTACAAAGACTAGAACAAGTTAAATTGAGGTTACAAAAATACTTAATCAGTTAACATGTACGTAGGTAACATAATACCTACAATTATGGCATAGTTGTTCCTGGTCTTACAATTTTCACGAAAGTTCTTAGAATATATGTAGTCTAGACATTAACCATTAACAAAAATGACAGTGTGAAGTAATATCTAATATTTGAATTATTTATATCTAATTATATACCTTCATAAAGGTCCATAAACCTTATAGATATAAAGGTACGAAATAGCTTAGGACGAATCCGACATTAGTCGAGTACGAACGTAACCTTTCGCCCCTTTAAATACAAATCTCCGAGTACGAACATATTTTAGGGCGAAACCTAATCATAAAGAAACATAAAATTCTTACAAACATGACTAGAATAAACAGTGTAAAGTTGATTTTAAAGAAAATACATATAAAAAGTTAACGAATAAGCTGTTTCCTTACATTATAGCTCGACATAACCCTTTTAACAAGCTTAGATTGGTTTTCAACAAACGGCGTGGTTTTATAAAGAACGGTAACTCACTAAATTTTTATTTCGTACAAAACCGTTTCGTAACACTCCCCGTCTGGTATTAAATACCACTACAATAATCTTATAAAATGCTTGACACTATGACAAATCTTTGGATTTTAACTTTCAATTATTTCCTATATGTAAATCAGTATTACGGTCTAAAATAAAGTTATATGTTCTTTCATAGAATTAGACACATCTACAGGCCTATGCACTTGTCCTCATGCTCGATTAATTGCACGATTTTAGTTATCGGTCTCACATAAGATTTTGATTCTGATTCACCGGTGCGGTTGAGTTTAACCATCACTTTCCTAACATGGCCGTCTTTGCTTGGATACAATTCAGTAATGATGCCCATTGGCCAATTATTTCGATGGCAATTGTCTTCAATAACTAAAACGACATCCCCTACTTTAAAGTCTCTCTGTGATGTTGACCACTTCTTCCTTTGTTGAAGTGTCTGTATATACTCGATCTTCCATCTTTTCCAAAACATATCGGACAAACACTGAACACGACGCCACTGAGCTTTATACATGTCTTTAAGACTAATTTCGTCTAGATATTGACCTTCTTCACAGGGCTTCTGGGTAAGAAGCATTGTTGGATTTAATACAGTTGGATTTTCTGGATCCGTAGAAACGGGTACTAAAGGTCGTGAATTCACAATCAAACACACTTCTGCCATAAATGTTGTTAGAACTTCATGAGTAATGTCCCCTCTAACATCCACAAACATGGACTCAAGAATGCGTCGCACCACACCAATTAACCGTTCCCACACCCCACCCATATGTGACGAGTGTGGGGAATTGAAAATCCAACAAGTTCGGTTGTCATTCAAAAGTTGTCGCACTGGACCATCTTCGACATTGATCGCGTCAATTTTCATGCAGTCCGTCGCTCCAACAAAATTGGTTCCCTTGTCTGAGCGGAAAAGTCGAACAGGTCCTCTAATGGCAATAAACCTGCGTGTTGCATTGATAAATGATGAAGTACTTAGCTCCTCTATTACTTCAATATGAATAGCTCTGGTAGTGAGGCAAGTATACAACACTGCCCAACGTTTGGTATTTGATGTTCCTCCTCGAGTGCGACGAG